GCCCCCGCAGCGTGGGGAGGATGCAGCTGACGGGGGCCAAAGTCTCCTCCGTGCAGCTGGAACCCGCCTCCCCTCCCCTCTTTCTTTTTTGGTAGGTAGGAGATACCTTTCTTCAGGTTTCCGGACGCACAAGTTACCCAAGCCTTCCCCGGGCAAAAGCAGCCCTCTGTGGCAGTACCTCCTGGATCACTCCTTGCGGGAGCACCCACTTCTGAAGAAGCTGCGACTGGTCAGTGCTCCTGCCCCGTTTCGGTTCTATACGTTCCATACATCCCGCATTCCAGCTAGCCCTTTCAGTAGCACCCAGGGCTGGCACAGAACAGTTGTCCTTTCGGGGATGTCCCTTACGCGTTACTCCCGTTTGCCTTCCATGAGCACCGCTGTGCTCCCTCCGGGATACAGAGCGGGTCTGAGCTTTGTTTGGTGTTCACCTTCATGTGTCAATTTCCCCCTTTGCAGCTCACTGCAGACCATCCCAGGGGCGGAATGATGGTGTCCTGTGACCAGGCTCAGCTTATGGCGAATTTGGTCAAACTTATCAAAGGCAAGAAAGTTATTGAAATAGGTAAATGTATGCGACTTTGTTCTCTCTTCATTAGAATAAGACTCCTGGCTGCAGTCCCCAGATGAAATTTCCAATCAGAACAAAGCCCTGCATCCTTGTCTCAGCAGACATTTGGGCAAACTGCAGTTTCAGGAGCAGTGTCTGATTTGTACTTATTGGTCACTTGATCTATGCACTCGGTAACACAGGGAGGTCTCATTTCTTCAGAGAGTATCTGAAAAAATGACTAACACCATGCAGGCCTCCAAGGCCAGCCAGCAGCCACAGGCCAAGGTGCACTCTTATTTTCCTGTGTCACTTCCACGGCAGAGCAAAACTGTTTGCTGCACAGGCCCTGCTACCAATCCACTTTCCTTGGTGCTCCTATATTAGGAAGACCTTCAAAAGCCAAATCCCTGCTGAGCTCCCAAGCCTGAGCTCCTTCCTGTCTTTATCATCTTCAGCCTGTTATTAAGGCTGAGGAAACCCCGCTGTTCCACTCTTGGACAGATCCAGACCCTTCTTCATGGGATTCAGGAGCACATTTCAAGTTCCTTGAGACACAGAACTAGCCTTTGTTCTGTGTGCACAGGGTTTTACAAAAAGCCAACTTCAAACTTTACCAAAAAAAAAAAAAAAAGCACACACCTTAAACCTTCCAGTCCACAATATATTACTGGGAAACCTTCCAAGCTCATTAACAAATTGCCATATTTGAGTCCTCTGAGATTCTTACTCCTGAGGGGAGCCTTGTAGTTTACTAATTGTCACACTGCCACAATATGCAAGTATTGATGGCTCCTATGGTCTTGCCTAGGTGTTTTCACAGGATATAATACTTTGAATATGGCCCTTGTCCTGCCGGATAATGGCACAGTTATTGCCTGCGATATAAATGAGGATTATGCCAAAATTGGAAAGCCACTGTGGAAGGAGGTGAGTGGCATCTTCACCACTATAAGTTTGGGACAGTTTCAGCTGCATATCCAGGGATTTGGGGGTCTCAGGCTTGCACAGGCACTCACTTGCAACCCACTGTCATGTCATCTCTTGATTACTCTCATCAACTCTGCTCTTTCCTCTTACAGGCAGGTGTAGACCATAAAATTGACCTACGAATTAAGCCAGCAGTTCAAACACTTGGTAAGTATCCAAAGGCGCTTTTTTGTTGTTGTTGTTAAAAGAAACACTAAGGTATGAATATTATGCTGATTAAATCCAAGACCAAATACACTAGTGGTTGAGGACCCTTTCCTAACAAGGAGATAGCTTCTCTTGCATAAAATCATTTAAAATATGCATATACATACACACCCCCCCAGAAGTTCTGTCTCTCTGCATACCAGGGGAGAGGAAGGAAACACTGATCCTGTGTAATGAGCTGCACTGGTCACTCACCTGTTCTGTCCATTGCCTTGCTTAATCTAAGTACTATTGTCAGCAGCTCTTGCTTATGGGAAAGCTGATTAAAACAGATTAGTTGGACAAAGCCAAACTTATGTCCATTTTCAGTAAGCATTTATGTATTTAGACAGTTTTCTAAAAAGACTGAGGTGCAGCAAAATACAGAAGCAGAGATAAAACTTCAGAGTATAATTGGTGAATTTTATCCTGAGAACTTCACATTTAGGACATGACAAGATCACATAAGGGCATTAGAAAGGCAATGACTTTTCTACTTTTCTCAGTCAGAACAAGAGAAGGTATAGGGCAGAGGAGATATAACAAAATCTGAAATTAAAAAAAAAGTGTTAGGAATGAGAGAATTAGGTAGTCAGTGAAACTGAATGACCTTTGCTGTAACTATCTGGGGAAAAAGAAATCTATGAGTTGTTAAGGTAGAAGGGCTACCCACGAATGCTGGGAAATTGCCCTCTCTAACAGTGTAAAGACTGGATTAAGCAAGTCAAGTAGCTGACGAGTTCATCTGGACTATCCTCAGCCCTCTTGTGGACCAAGGCACAGGTGGACGAGATGCTCAGGGCTCTTGGTCAGCCCCGTGCTGGGGTGATTCTGCCCACCCAGCAGGGCTGCGGCGGGAGGACCAGCGCATGGTGGGGCCTCCATCCTGGGACGGATGGTTCCACGGACCGAAAGAGACGAAGGGGTAGAGCATGCGTAGGGTCAAACTGCTTCATTTGTTTGTCCTGCGCCATTCAGCAGTCCCAGCTGTATCCTGCATGTTGAGAACTGCTCCGGGATCTTCTTCCAAGCAGACAGAACTTGGTAACTGGACAAGTGTTTTATGGTGTAGATCACATCCAGATTGTTTTCCATGGGATAAGTTTTCCCAGTAATGGCTGTGGAGGACTAGTCTGCTTGGTCAAGGCACCAAAAATACTTAATGAAACTTTTGACCCAGAGCAACGACTTTCTCCCCTTATAGCATTAACCAGGGTGTAACAACTTCCTTTGTTGCCCATCCAGATGAACTGCTGGCTAGTGGAGAAGGAGACACCTTTGACTTTGCCTTCATTGATGCTGATAAGGAGAGCTGCAACGAGTACTATGAAAAATGCTTGCGCCTCGTAAGGAAAGGGGGAATAATAGCGATTGATAATGTAAGTACTGCAGCTTTAGAGGCAGTAGTACAGCGCGCACACACACACCCCCTGCTTATTGTCTCTGGAAAGGCAGGGGAAACCACCCTGGGATTTTAGTAACTTGATTTCTGGCCTGCAATTCAGTTGCAAATGCAACTTCTCACGTTGATCGAAGAAGGCTTTTAAAATTCAACATAAATTATTAAAAAGTAAACTAATACTAACTCGTGCAACACCAAGAAGGAAACCAAATATAAGCAATAAAATGCTAAATTTATACTAAAATAAACACGCTTTGATTACAGAAGCTTATCACAGTTCATTACAAAGGATGCTCCTCAATAGCCTGTTTTTCTTCTAGCACTTGTTCTATTGCATACAGTATATACACAACATCTAACGTGCCATCTGTTACAAATAACTAGTAAGTTATCAATTAATAACTTCTACTAGTAACAAACAACACAGACTTCAGGCACCATCAGGGTTACGGTGGCAGCTAAAGAGGGGCTTTTAAAAATACTTGTACTCCTCATGCTTCCTTTTTGGGGGCTTTTAATCTGCACCAGAAGTACAAATAGTGGCCAATTCTGGGGACTCCCATTCCCACTTGATGAGAGCCTCATGTCAGGAAGCACTAGAAAGTGTGAGATACTTGGTAGCATTTTTTTTAAGCAAGGATTGAGGGCCTTTTCCAAAACACTGTTTTAAGCAGCATATTGAAACAGATGAGGTGCGTGACATTCCTTTTTCTTTGATAGGTCCTTTGGGGTGGGAAGGTGCTAAACCCAAGCAAGGATGACCTGGCAGCGCAGAGCATTCACCACCTCAACGAGAAGCTTCTCAGGGATGCGCGAGTCAGCATCAGCATGATCCACATGGGGGACGGAGTGGCCTTAGCGTTCAAGCTGTAACTGCAGGAAGCCCAGCAGATGGAAAACAGCAAGCAGCACCAATCATCGGGAAAGATAAGGGTGGAACACTCACAGGAATGGTAATTCAACCCAGCTTAGCCTGCAAAAGCAGACTTTAGAATCAGCAAGATCCCTAAGAGCAGAAACATTGAGAAGAGAGATTTATTTTGAGATTAGTATGGCTTATTTTAATTGCAATAAAGGAAGGAAGCTTGCACAAAGTTGTCTTTGTAAGACTGGTTGAAGAAAATCTCCCTGTGTAGAACGACTGTGTAAAGCTTCAAGTGAGTCAATTTAACAAAAGACATTTCCTGTCCTAAAAGACTCTTTTAAGTTAGAGAACAAGAGGGGAAGGGGAGATGGGAGTAAAACTGTGGACCTATTAAATGATCTGCATAGGATCTGGGAGAGAATCAGCATCACTGCTAGAAACCCTTCACGAATCCCAGTCCAGCACTGTAACCGTCGGGGCATTTTCCTCCCAGGTTTCCATTGCCTTGAAGGAAAGTTAGCTGTGGCTTGAGTTTAGACAAAGATCAAGGAAAAAGTCTCAAATTTGAACAGGAAAAATACATGTGTATAGCAGTCAGACAGAACACCAAGAAAAAAAAAATGGGGGGGGAGGGAAAGGAGGGAAAAAAAGGGCAGGGAGATGGGGAAAGCAGATACAACTCACAGTGACCCATTTGCATCGGTGAAGAGAGATCACACTCTGTAAAAAGTAAAGTATGATAACCAAGAGCTTTTACGCTACCAGGCATTCAGGCTTGAGCATATATAATGTCTGTAGTTTTGTTAGCTCCTTGCTGCTCGTGATATTATTTTGAAGATTAAGAGATTTGGGCAAACATTTTCCAGATTAGACTGATTGACTAAGATGTTACTCGCATGTCAGGAGTCTCCAAAAAGCACAAAGTGGTATTAAAGGGCAAGACTTTTAATACTGAACACTCTTTAAAACCTTTTTGATCAAGAACTGCATCACTTCAGCCTAAGTAACCATGCAGCAGATTCTCTGAAGCCAGAATGAGCAACTGAAAATTGGCAAGATGTTTGGGAAACCAGACCCTGTCCCCATCTCCTCCCCAAAGCCGCAGCTCGACATCTTATCCTTAGCACAAGGCATTAAAGTTTCTTGCCATTGAAAGGAGCTGCCCTGGGCACCAAGGTGCTGACAGCCTACAAGTCTGCTCCATATAGTTTATCTGCATTGCTTATTAGTAAGTTTTGGGGTTTATTTTGTTGAAGAACTCTGGTAATTGCTGCAAAGTTTGACAGAAAGCTGCAAGCAAGAGCAAGGAGACAGAAAGGCTGCAGAGGGAAAGCAATGACTGTGTGAGGATGCAGTACAGCTGCAAACTGACTGTTCAAGTAATTATTCTTGCAGGTTTCTTTCCCCAAAGGGCACAGAACAGGATGATGCTTTTTCACACCCTTCCATATAGCCTTAATTCACAGTTACCTTAAATTGCTGCTGTCATCAATTACTCCCGTTCCATTCTTATGTCACTCATGACATTTTTGGCAGCTGTTGATGGAGAAACTATGATTATAAAAGCTCCCCTTAGCTAGGGCCAATAAAGGAAACTTAAGGAGTGGAGCTTATTCTGCCCAAGCTAGAGAATCTAGCAGGACCACATCTTTCCATTTACGCTAGTGCAAATAGTACTACTAACCAATTTTCAGGGCTAATTCCAAACCAAAATTCTCATTAACAAGAAAACACAATTAAATGAGAAAAAAAAGAAATGCACATTACAGCCAATGCCTCCATTGGCAGCTGGCTTGTAGGGCTGATACACTGCAAGGCTGTCCATGATGTGTGTGTTGGGGGACACTCTTAGTTTTGTTGGCCTCCTCTGGTGAAGCCCGTCAGAGCCAAGGGAGCTCCTGCCATTTGCTTGAGCAGCACGCTGGAACAACTCAGGGTACTGGGGGGACAGACTTCCAATCTCATAAAACACTTTTTAGAATTGACAACAAAGCTCTCATTTCTGAAATTGAACCGAGTGGTTTGGGTTCTGACAAGGGGCAGATGTTCAAGGCCCAAGTCTGACCTCGCTCAAACACTCATGGAGCAAAAAGGAAGCTCTGCCTAGCGACTTCAGTGTGAGGTTACGAGGGAGGAAATCTTGATTCTATTTCTGTCACTTCTAGTTAAAACCCTGATTCAGCAAAGCATGTCAGGATGTGCTCAAGTGCTTTGCTGAACTAAACACTGGTGGCTGTGAAATAAAAATCCAAGCCTGGGAGAGAGCCGGGCCAAGGTCCATGTGTCCCTTATACAAGACCTTAAATAGGGCACAAAAGCTGGGGAGGGGTTAAGGATATGGTTTTACCCTTCAAATCTCTAGGTACCTCAATATTCTTATCTACTTAAAATAACACCTTACTGAAGCCTTAATGACTATAGTAGCTTTCAGATGGAGCCACTAAAAGACTACAGGAGATCATTATACACTTGCATTCAAAGCTCCTGGCCATGCTCCACTTTTATGATTTTGCTTTTCAAGGATATCTCTAAAATTTTAGAGTTACAAACACAGTGCTGGACTCCAACAGCTGGGACGCACTCTCAAACATTCCTACTCTCAGAAGCTCGTGGGAAAACCCTTTAGCAGAGATTAATAGGCTCTGTTTATTGCCAATTCAATCATTTCTCAGAGGCCAGTTATGATAGCCATAAGAAATCAAACAAGGAACAAATACACTGTTTTGACACTTCGTGTTAGATCGTATTTTCTCATTAAGATACAGATCCAGTGATTAATTCTGATGATGCTCTTTAGACTAACTAAATGTTAAAGCAAGCAAACAGCAAAATGAAACAAACAAACCAAAAAACAACCCACATCCAGACACTTAAATACTATAGGCCTCTCAGTATTTTGGTCATACAGGGCTGTGTGGCTTGGCTTTCCCCTTCTGCTTTTCAGAAAGCTCAGTTTTCCCAAGTTAGCTGCAAGACCTTATGCATCAATTATTAATGCTAAGGACAATAATTTTGAAGATGGTTATTGATTGGTATTTCAAGTCCCAGATCACCAGAAACTCACTGAGCTTCCAAACCAAATTCAAATAGCTGCCAGGCTCCAACTCTGCAGCTGCATAAAGTCCCTTTGATTTTATTGAAATTCTCTGATCGCCACATCAGCCCCAGGAAACGATCAAAACAAACTGAGATTCACCTTCCTCCTGGCCAGGGAGCTCACTGCACAGACAGGCAATGGGCAGAGAAAGATGGTAACTGGCTCTACAGAAAAGACAACATTAATGGACAGGAGCCTGTGAAATAGATCTCCAAACCATATTTAAGTGCCCAGCTTCAGTGAACAGACATTCTGGCCCTAAAGGACTTAAAACAGGATCTAGATCTTCTGAGTCCCATCAAAATAAAGCTTTAAAGAGACTATCTCCATTGAAGAGAGACAAAAACCATGTTCTTTATATTCACAACCACGTACAAACATTTCACAGAGCCGGAGTGAAGCTAGGGCTTCACTGGCAACTTACTGAAAAGTAAACAGGCACACCTTGCTATTTTTCATATAGGAACTCTAAGGCACTCAAACACTTGTGTTTCAGTCAGATCAGTAGGGAGGCAAACGGAGATTGGGCAAAGGTTATTAGAGACCAGAAGTTCAGCAGCTAGTCAGTGCTTCATGGTTCTTGAATGTTACTTTGGGGAAGCCAAAACAGCACAACAAACAAGCAAGAAGCTGTCAGAGAACAGAAGGGAGGGGGAAAAAAAAAAAAAACACACCACCAAAACACACAACCAGCTTCACTTCTCATACACGAGATTATTTGCTGATCAATTACTGCAATGAGGAAACCCGAGAGTTATAGGGCACTTCAAGTTTGAAATCTCAGCTTCACCCGCAGCACAAACTGATAACCAAGAGCAAGCCACAAGCTGCTGAAAGTGCACACAGAGGCCTAAGAGAACCATTGTGCGGGTGGAAGACTCATCACAGACTCCAACTGCTCTGCTAGTCATTTCCAAGTGGCAATAAACTCCTCAGTAAAGATGACCCAAAAGTGAAGCAAGTTCCATGAATATTTTTGGAAGGAACAGATAAATAGCAGATTAGGAATATTCAAAACTAGATACAAAAAACCTTCATAGTCTGTGACTTCATAAACTCCTTTTCCTTGAGGAGAGGGACTCCCAAATTCCCATAACCCATGTTAGAGGGAGAGGCTAGCTTTGCCCACTCCCAAGTGCCCAGGGCTGCAGCTGCATGCAGGCAAGCAGAGTGCCTCTGCTCTGGACTCCAATCCATTTTAAAATATGCAGAACATAGTGTGAGCATTTAATCAAACCTGTCTCCATCCTGATCACGTAATTACCATTAGAAAGAATAGCAATGTGTCCCTAAACTATAGATTGATGAGCCATCTGTAAGCTGAAACAAAGACCAGAAGGAAGCTTAATTGAATCAAATATTTAGAATACATTACACTATCTTTTAGTTACTCAGAAGCTAGCCTTCTCTTCAGGCTTGTCCTACACGTCTGGAATTCATCACCGCTAACTGCATTTAATCCTTCAGCCTTACTATAAAGTGACTGCTGATAATATATAATTATGGTTTAATTCAAGTGGTGAATCAGCTTTAGGGAATTGACAGGGACAATGGGAATTGAGGCTTTGATTAGGTGGTAAAAGCGACCACATGACGACACAGCACCTCTCTTTGTCTCTCTCTAACGGCAAAGCCATGTAGCAAAGCTTATGGGAGAGCTCCCCGCTCCAGACAACGCATCTTCCCAAGGACTGCCCATACAGCAAAGGCTCATGGCTTTTCTGGGCTCCACCCCAAAAGTGCACCCAAACCCTGGGCACAACTATCATCCAAAGACCCCCATCCAGATGTTCATAGACCACTGACACCATTTCCAGTTGCAAGGGTTCAATCCAGAGAAGGCAACACAAGCACCAAGCATACAGTTGGTATTTAGCAGAAGCAGACGGTAGCTGAAAGGGAATATATAAAAATACATCCCTCCCCTCCCACCCCCCAGAGGCCACCAGCGGAATGAAAGTGCACACGATAGGTGCTGATT